TTCTAATCGGCCCTTTTTAATCAGACAAAGCAATACATTAATATGTGAGAGTTATATAAGGTAATGGCATGTAAACAGATTGCACCTTGTACCATGTTCTGTTGGATCACATTCGCATCAATTTATTACTCGTGATGTCCTGGGTGGGCTCCGTGCCGCTGACAGATCGCTGTCGTCATTTATCTGATTTATGGAGTTTAATGCGGAGAGGCGTTGACACCTTCTGATAGGAACGCACCCAGTACAAGGACAGCAAGAGCCGAGCGATGTGACCAAGAGGCAATGACACAGCAAATGTAAACCTTCCATATTCTCATGCTGTCTTGAGAAGCGACATTTGAGTACTGACAAAACATCACATACCTTTATAATCATTTAAGAACATTTTATTTATCAGATTAAATTGCCGTTTAAATGTGTACCTCTTCTTCTCAGAGACAAGACTCACTGATTCATATATTTTCGGCTGGGTGTACCTTACACTTTCCAATTATACCAGTATCATTACCTTGGTATAATCATCATTAAAAGTGCTCTATTATGCTTTTTAGTGTCCCCTCCCTGCTTGAAACGCCTCCATTGGACTCCTTTGTTTACTTCCTGAACATAGTGGCATCACTGTGTAACACTTGCGCTTCTATTGGCTAGCGCTCAAACATATTGTACGGTTAGGCTAAGGGGAGGGACATCTCTAAGCGGTTGACCAATCACAACACAGCCGACCAGCTAGCCAATCAGATCAGACTGGGCTCTGGTTTCGGACAGAGGGTGAAAAGAGGTGCTGCAGCACAGGCAGTATGAGAAAAATAAAGAGCTTTTTGAACATTAAAGCATGGAGACATGTCACAGTAGAGACACTAAATGCAAATATGAACCTGAAGATGAGCATAATAGGGCCCCTTTAAACCCCTATTTTATTCAATTGACTTTTTTATCAGAAACAAGACTTTGCTCTCTAGTTATTATTCAAGTCTACAATATAAAAAAAGAATGGCACAAGACATGTTTATTTTTGATATTACTACCACATATCGTAGTTTGCTGTGGAACAGTGAGGGAATCCCCAATGATGTCAAGAGGAGATGGAAACCTTTGGTATGTGTAGATAAAGCTCTGATCTGACGCCGGCGTGAGAGCATCTCGGGGCGTCGACTCTCTCTCGCTTTATCTGCTCAGGCCAGGCTGCGTTCACTGGGATCGCTCAGCTCCAGTTACAGAAGGCTGCAGCAGCGTTACATCATTCTGAGGAATGTGACGGGGGGTGCATTTCCCCCCACTTTTGCTCGTACAAAGAGAACACGTTTCAAGAAAATGTGGTCATTCATCTTTATGCTTTGTAATTATAGGAACGTCTTTCTTCTTCGGTGCACTTGCCATACAAAGTACACATTTAATTGAAAACGTAGGTTAAGGGTCTCTTTTTGGAAGTATATCAAGCGGATATCCACAAAACATCCATGAAGGGAGGTTCCCACTGGATAACCTCGAGGGCCTGACCTCTATTCATGTTAAAACATTGAAACGAGTTTGAAAACAAATATATTTAGCGGTTGTAAAATCTTGTAAAAATAACCCTAATGATTTGGCAAAGCCTTGCAGACTTTACTCCGTTATTAAAGTAAGTATTTACTTTACTTCGACATCGATTTTGAATTGGATGCTGTAACTATATAACCCGTAACGGAGGCCGTGATCTTTGGCCCCAGAGATCACGGCCTCCGTTACGGGTTATATAGCTTCGTTATTGGCGAAGTATATTGATTTGTTCCACCCTGGAACATTGCACAGGAAGCATGTGATTATATGTAATTTATGCATCTGTTTGTCGCGATCTGTCTGTGTTTTAGTTTGTCTCTGTTTCCTGTTTTATTTTGAAAAGTGTTCCCCCTCCCGTCTTGTCTGTTACTGGTGATTGTGTTCACCTGGTGCCCTGTGTTGTCTCCTCCCCCCTCACCTGTGTCTTGTTGGCTTGATTAGTCTGTGGGTATTTAGGCTCTGTTCTTTCTGTTAGTGGGGGGTGAGATCCTTGTGGCTGGTGGATGTGTTCACGGGTAACAGTCATATTGAGGCTGTGCCGATGATTAAATAAATGCCCACACCGGGTTATATTTCAACTCTCTAGCTCCTTGCTTGGTCGGGCCGCTCAACGGTCAGCTTCACAGTGCTCTAACTGACCATTACTGTTTCCCGTCAAGTAGGGTTAGGGCAGAGATGGCAAAAGTACACACATCCTTTACTCAAGTAGAAGTACAGATACTCGTGTTTAAAAATACTCTGGTGAAAGTAGAAGTACTGACTAAACTTCTTTACTCAAGTCAAAGTAAAGAGNCAATTCTCTAAATGAAAGGAAAGGAGGTTTCAAATTTCCTTTATAACCTCCTTTACCTTAGGAACCACTGGACCTCCCTTACCGAAAGGAGAGGAGAAAATGCTGCCCCACAATGCCTTGCAGCCGCAGCATTTGCCGTCAC